GAAGATGTGAGTGGAGGTATAGGGAAGTAAACTGACATGCCGTTTACAGAAGCAATAGCAGTGCTGATTTGTGTCAAGAACAATGTTATTAGGACTACAACAGACAACTCCCTGCAAGTTCCTGTCTCCAACAGAACTGGTAGAGGCAATATCAAGAAGAGGGGAAGGAGCACAGTAGCCATTCCAAAATCTCTTCCCCAAAGCAAGTGGGTAATCATAATATCTACTTCACTCCTTCTAGTCTTTCCCCAACAAAGTACCTTTGAATGCTGCATCTAAGTAATATTCTTTTTTTTTTTTTGGCTAGGCAACGGGGTTAAGTGACTTGCCCAGGGTCACACAGCTAGCAAGTGTTATGTCATTTGAACTCAGGTCCTCCTGAGTGCTCTATCCACTGTGCCAACCAGCTGCCCTCTAAGCTAATATTCTTTTTTTTTTCTTTAGGCAATTGAGGTTAAATGACTTGCACAGGGTCACATAGCTAGTAAGTGTCAAGTGTTTGGTCTGAGGTCGGATTTGAACTCAGGTCCTCCTGACTTCAGGGCTGTGCTTTATCCATTGCGCCACCTAGCTGCCCCCTTAATATTCTTAATACACTGTTTTCATCATGCCATTCCCCTGCTCAAAAGCATTTGATGACTGTCTATTGCCTATTGAATAGATCCGAAACTCTTTAACCTGGTTTCAAGTTCCTCCAGGATCTGAACCAGCCAACTTTATTTCTCGTTAACACCAGCTAACATTTATATAGCTCTTTAAAGTCTGCAAAGCACTTAACATTTGATCCTTACAACAAACTTGTGAGGAGGGCGCTAATTAATCATTCAACTAATTGTACGAAAGCTGCTACAGCCAAACTATTCTACTCAATGTCCGTCCAAACACACCTCAGTGTTTTTCCTACCTGTGAACCTCTGTTCACACAGTTCCTACAATTTCATGAATCCTTTTGTTCTGATTATCCTAAACATATTCATTTTTCAAGGCCCACCTCAGATTGTATCTACTTTGCCAAGCTTTTCCCGGCATCCCAAATGAAAATGATCCCCCTCTCTTGAGCTCCTGTAGCATTTCACACAGTTTTTGATAGTACTTTGCGCCTCTCTTGTATTTTATGTTCCATCCCACTTATTTGATTCCCAATATAATTCCCTATTATTGAACTGCCTATAAGCTCCTCAAGTCCAGTGGCAAGACAAATGTCAAGACAACTGGTGATGGCCCAGAATGCAGTTTTTCAATTTTGATGTCTGATCAAGATCAGCCACCTTTAAAGCCATCCAAACAAACTGTTCTCATCCACCCACTCTGCCAGCGGAAGTCTTCACATGCTTGGAGCAGACACCCCTCTAACTCACCGATGAGTGAGGCCCATCAGTTATCTCCCACTGAGTTACCTCTACACCACCATATATGTCATATCTTCCCAACTAGGTAATGAGACTGAAAAATAGAGACTGTGAATTTGTATTTATTCTTCCTCCTCTTATGTCTTGACTTATGCCTTGTAAGTTGTAAGATAACAGATCTAGAACTAGAAGAGACCTCAGAATCCCTCAAATCCAACCCCCTTTGGATCTACAGGGTCTACAGAAGGTAAGTAACTTGCCCAAGGTCACATAGATAGAATTCATCAGAGGCAAGATTTGAATCCAGATCCTCTGACTCCAAAATCAGTGTTCTTTCCATCAAACATAGGCTACTAAATAAATATTTTTTTCATTAATTGGTAGTTATAGTACTCCCAAACTTCATGGCTTAAATCCAGGTACAATAAGGCATTTAAGTGTTCTTAACCTGAGTCCATGAACTTGGGGGGGGGGGGATTACATCTTTATTTTCACTAACTGCTGACTAAAATTCACCATTTCCTTTCATTATGAATTTTTTAAAAATATTACTTTGAGAAGAGGTCTAGAGACTTCTCCACACTGCCGAATGCACACTATGGAATACACAAAATGGTTTAGAACACCCACACAAGGCCTCCCAGGACCTTTCAGAGCAGGAGTGCTCACATTCCATTGACATAAACCCAAGTCTTTTCACCTCTGCTGAGCAGTAGATAGTGTGAATAACTGACTGCATCTTGATGAAAAGGAAATCAAAAGACTCTAGATGGCAGTGAAGATCTCCTTTTAAAACAGGATTTTGAATCACCAGAGTAGAAATACAAAAATAAGCGAGGTCTAGAAAGAAGAGGATTATCAAAGGATATTTTCTTGTACAATGTACAATGAGGACTAATGTCTCACCGGTGGCTTGCACTCTGTATCCTGCTCGCACCAGGATTCTACTTTGTGGATAGCTCCCTGCTCTCAGGATCAAATGATTCAGAGCAGCAAGGGGCCTTGGAGGTCATCTAATCCACCCCTTCATTTAACAGGTAAGTTGAGGAGAGGAAAGCAACCTGACCCAGGTACTTGGGGAATAAGGAATAGTAGCAGGATTAAAAATACAGGGTTCTTTCCACTACATCACACAGCCTACGAAGGAACTGACTGCCCCTTGACGACAGAGCCCCTTTCAACTGAAAAAGATTTTTCTTTAAAAGATAATTCAATAAACAAAGCCACACCCAAGACAAGGAAGCCCCAGAAGGAAATCAAGCATTTATCCACTTGTTTGTGGGATACATAGCCTACGATTTTTAAAACTTTCCCAGATGGATGTCACAGTAATTAGCTTTTGTGAGGGTACCTTGTCTGATTCTTTGTCCCAAGCCTAGCTTTGATTTGAATTTGTCTAGTAGGTGGCTGGGTATATTAGACTGCAATCATTACATTTCAGCCAACAGGAGACAGCACTCCAGGCAGAAACCAGCAGATGCCAGGCATCCTTGATGGCAGGCACAAACTTGGCTATAGCATGTGAGACTGATGTTCATGTCTATAATGTCAACAAGCTAAGTAGTTCATAAAAGGTTTAAAGGTTTAAAGACTGAAGGGACTCCAAAGAACTTCCCAGAATCCACAGTGGTGCAGATGTCTAGATATTCAACTAAAGATGGGGACACGGCTAGATTTATGATTTCACTGACATAGGGAACTTCCTGGTGAGAAAACCCTCTACTAGTGCAGGTGAACACTTTCTCTACTATTTATAGTCTTAGAGAGTTGCCTAGAGCAGAGGTTCTCAAATTTTTTGGCCTCGGGATTGCTTTACACTCTTAAAAGTTATTGAGGACCTGGGGCAGCAAGGTGGCACAATGGATAGAGCTCTGGCCTTGGAGTCAGGAGGATCTGAGTTGAAGTCCAGCATTAGACACATGACACTAGCTGAGTGACCCAAGGCAAGTCAGTTAACCCCATTGCCTGGTCAAAAAAAATGTTTTCTTGAGGACCCCAAAAAGCTTTTGTTTATGTAGGTTATATATGACCCAGGGATGTGCTGGAGCTAGTTCATCAGCTCTGCCCCATTATTTAATTTTCAGTGTGAATATTTACATCTCAGAAATCCACACATGCTACAAATCAGGGCTTGATTTGTTTTGTTGATTGTCTTGATTTAATAAAGTGATACACAAAATGTTAATAATATTGGTCAAACCAATAAGTGTTTCCTGAACACTCTTTTCCCCCAGAGAGCTAGTTGTTAAACCAGCACACCCCTGCAGATCTAATGATGTCTCATACGTTAAACATTAAAATTGAGATAACAATTTAAAATGTGTATTAATTAATTTAAATAAAAATTCAATTACATGTTAATATAAATAACGTTTCATTAAAAATAACTATCTTTTCCAAAACAAAAAAAAATTAGTGGAAAAAGTGGTATTGTTTTACATATTTTTACAAACCTCTCTGATGTTTGACTTAATAGAAGATAGTTGAAATCTTGTCTTTGATTTTGTTCTCAACATGTGTTATGTTGTTTTGGTTGAAGTGTGTGAAGAAAATCCTGCCTCACACAGATACTTAGTTGAAAAAGGGACGAATATTTTAATAGACAAATAATGATTTAATACTATTATGAAAATAGTTTTGATCTTGAGGATCCTCTTACTGGTCTTGGATGGACCACACTTTGAGAACTACAAGCAAGGAGGGGTTAAATGGATTGCCCAGGGTCACAAAGCCATTATGTGTCAGAATTAGGACTTGAATCTTCCTGGCTCCAAGATTAGCTCTATCCACTGAAATGTCTGATATTTTTTTGTTTTGTTTTGTTTTTTTAAGGCAATTGGGGTTAAGTCCCTTGCGCAGGGTCACACAGCTAGTAAGTGTCAAGTGTTTGGTCTGAGGCCACATTTGAATTCAGGTACTCCAGCCTTCAGGGCCAGTGCTCTAACCACTGCGCCACCTCGCTGCCCCTCCACTGAGATGTCTAAGTGCCTATTACAAGTGCATTTACAAACACAAACTTCAGTTAAATCTTATAAACTTGTAAAGTTTGTGAAAGATCAGTGATTAGGCTCGAGAATTAATTACTCTACATCATTGGTCCACATTGTCATGATGACAAACAAAAAAAAAAACCCAAAGGAAACCAGATCCAGAGAGACATTTTCCAGCTGCCTGTTTTTTCCTCTCTCCAATGGACATAAATTCTTCCTTTTTTGGAAAAAAATGACACTATGACTCACACACCAGTAAGCTCTGAACATGATCACTCTAGGTCAATGCTGTTTTCAAAATTTAAAATTATTTAATCATCTCATCAAATCAATGACACACCCTTACGTTAGCATGATTCATGCATGACAATAATAACACAACCTATACTAAGCCACAAAAAAACTTTAAGTATTTAAAAGCTTTTTAAAGTTACCGCCATCATGAAGTGCTAAATAAAAACACATAGAAGTTTTATTTTCTAACTTTCCCAGAACCAAATTTCCCAAGTCCATAAGTGTCAAGGAAACAAACTCATTATCAGTAGGCACATTCTACTAGGCTGTGTGACCACATCCAACATTATTTTTAAATATTCTAAGTAAGAATAAGACATGACTAGATGGTGAAGTTCACATTTTCTTAAAAAAATGACATACTCACAGGTTTTCTAGTTGAAGGAACTTGAACAGAGTGGTAAAATTCTGGCTGAACTCGGCTGCTTTTCTTGAGTTTCCTTTTTCTCACTGAAGTTTCTTGTTCGCTCTGATGGTGTACTTCTGCTAAAGGCTCAGTTTCTTCTAGACGGGCCGCTACTCTTCTTCTGGTATGGCGAGGACTTGCTCTAAATCCCTGCGGCCCCAAAATAAAAACCCCACACGTGTATTATTAATGTGAAAATTGCCAAAGAACAGTTATACAAAAAGACATAGAAATGATCATGCAGGCTTAACGAGCAGGTTTCTATTTCCAAAGTAACCAACTAAGAGGCACAATGGATGAGTGCTAGATTTGGAGTCAGGAGGGCCTGAGTTCAAATACCACCTCAGATATCTACTAGATGTGCATCCCTGGGTAAAACCCTTAACCTCATCTATAAGGTGGAGACGATAATAATGGCCCCAACCTAACAGCTTCGTTGTGAGGATCAAATGAGATAATATCATACAAAGTGCTATGCAAAACATAAAGTGATCATATTAAAAGCAGGCTCAATGTGCAAGACGGCCTTGTTTCTTAGAAGTAGTCGCACTGGATACCATCCTCGTTTGTTTGTTTTTCAGTTCTAACTCTTCATGATGCCACGTGAGTTTTCTTTGCAAAGATAAGGGAGTTGTCTGCCATTTTCTTCTCCAGATCATTTTAAAGATGAAACCAAGGCAAACAGGGTTAAGTGACTTGCTCAAGGTCATATAGCTCGTAAGTGTCTGAGAACAGATTTGAACCTAATTGACCATAATTTACCTAGAAGGGCCCAGAGGGCTTCTTGGCTTTTTTTTCCCTTTGATGGTGCCAAATCACATTAAGGTGTAAAAGGCTGACAAAATATCTGGGTTTTTCTCAAAACTTTTTTTTTTACTCAAGAGTATTTTCAAGTTTTTTATATTGTTTTTCTTAAAACACATGATACCAACAGCAGCCAAAAATGAATGGCAAATCTAACATGTATTAACTTCAAGATAACAAGTATGTGGCAAAACATACACCACCCATAATGCTTTACAATAAACACTACTTTAGCAAGTATGATTGTAGTAACTTCTTGATAAGAATCACTATAAATGTTCTAATATGTATTCTTTAGAGGAAAAGTATTAAAACCCCACTTCTTGTTTGTTTTAGCAAATCAGCATGGTTTCTCTACTAAATTATAGAAGGTTAAATTTCAAAAAAGAAGTTATTTGCCAATGATATTTTTTCCCATTTAGCACTATAGTTTGTTACCCATGGACAGTAACTCCAAAAGGAAAACCTGGAAACTCCAAAACCCTAGTCATTCTGTCAGAATAGGACCACCAGTAAATTGAGCCAAAATCCCTTTCTCCCTTCTACCTGGCACTGCAGAGTTTGAATACCAACTACCCTCCATTTCCCTAAAAGTCTTTCCTCCCTACAATTAGCATCAGTCCCTAAACCTGGACAACTTGCTCCCAATGCCTGGTCCCACTAGACTCATATGAGAAGCCTGTAAAAACCCATCAGACTTCACTCTTTGGGGACATGGCATCCAATTCCACCCTGAGGTCCAGACCTGACCTGCTTTAGTCACTCTCCTTGATTGTCCTTCATTTTGCATCTCCTCTCAATAAACTGGCTTGCTTTACTATTGTTGAGAGCTGTTTCCTTGTCCTAGGTTTTTCAGTCTGTGTTAAGACACCTACCCAGCTAAATATAATGTCACTTTATTCTGAGGCTGTCTATATACTCAATTTTCTTGAATGTTCAGTATAAGTAAAGTGTTTATTGTGTATAGCAGGGGTTCTTAACTTCTTCAATGTCACAGACCCTTTAGCAATCTGGTGAGGCCTACGGACCCTTTCATAAAATAATGTTTTTAAATGCATAAAATATATAGAATTGCAAAGGAAACCAAGTATATTGAAATACAGTCATGAAAATTTTTTAAATAGTTCAGAGACCCTAGATTAAGAACCTCTAGTATATAAAAATTTGTATTTTGGAGGTATTGCTTCCATCTGCAAAGAAAAATTACAAAGTCTTAATTGTTTCCATTTTTATTGTAATGTTAGATGTATGTAATAACATCATCAGGATACACCATTATTGTAGGTTAAAAGTTGTATATGGTAAGATATGTTGTAATGACTATATTTTTACTGAATGACGTATTTTCTACATCAAAGTAAGCATGAATAAAATTAGGTTAAATAAAAAAAAATTTTTTAAAGTCTGACAAAGTCTAATTTGTTACTTCTCCTAGGGGCACTTTGCATTTTAACAGGTGTCTTAAGGCAAAGGAATATATCAGCTAATGGAATTTCAGACACAAGGACCGGAGTGAAAGAGATGGAAATGGGGAGTATACATTCAGAGAACCTCTGAAACCACAACATACAGGCTGCTGCCTACTTTTTCCACTCACAAGGCTGGCTCTGAACCAAATATTTGCAAAAATGGCCTAAAAAGAATTTATTACTTTAGATAAGAAATGGTTTACAATCTCATTCCTATTATTTTGGAGTATGTAGAAACTTCTGCACTTGATAAAGACTGACTGACTGACTGACTACATTGTCACGGTGATCCTGAGCACTTGGAGGCCAGACTAGGGGAATGTAAGCACTGGAAGGTTCTACCTAAACTTAAAAGGCTTCAAACACTAATTAATAAGGGTCTATGTTTGTGTCTAGAGTCTGAGGATCATCCGGGCTAAATTCAAAGAAGCTCTTCGCTAAGCAGGGCACAGAGGGATGAATTTTTTGGCCACCACAGCTCTCAAAAACCATCTCCAGAGTTAAAGAAGGGTTTTGATCTGTGTCATTCAAGGGAGCACCCACTTTGATGAAATTACAGATCTTTGAAGAGCTGAAGAGACTCCCATGCCAGTTCATAAAGACCAAAGCAAAACAGAAAGAAGAGACTATCCAGTTGCTATGGAAACTCAACAAAGTACAGTATGTTACTTGTATTAAAACCTTACAGCAGTCTTCACCTACCAAAATGACTGTCGATTTTTGATATGAGAAAACCACCACAGGCTTGGGGAAATTAAATTGAGGTTCAACGGTTCTTTTCTTTACATTTATATGATGTTTTATCAGTAGTAGAAGTAAGGAATATTTTAAATTCACTAGTATGTTTTATTAGGGTTGGAAGTAGGATAGATAGATGTGGTTCTTTTTTTCATGAAGCAGAAAAAAACCCAGTAAGTCTATAGACTGAGAATTAGAAATAAAAGAAGCTTTCCTCAACACAATGAAAGTTTCAAAAATTGTTGGCTAAAATAAAATTTGCTGCAATGGCAATAGGAAAAAATCTAAAGACAAAAACAATCACATATATTTCATTTTTTAAAAAGATTAAGTATCCTTTCACAAAGTGACTAGTATGGAAATATATTCTGCATGATTGTGCGTGTATAACCTATATCAATTTGTTTACCACATCAGGGAGGAAGAAGGGGAGGGAGGGAGAGAGAGAATTTGGAACTTAAAATTTTTAAAAATAAATGTTCAAAGTTGTTTTTACATGTAATTGGGGAAAATTAAATAATATTCAAAAAAAGATTTAAAAGTGCTTCAATGTATTAAATTATTAAATTTTATTAGCAACCAACCAATGCATATTAGAATACTTTGCAAACAGGTTTCTTTTTTTCTCAAAAGCTGTACACTGGAAAGAGCAATTCCCTAGTTTTCTTTAAAACTCAGCTCAAGCAATATTATCTGTAGAAAACCTCTCCTGATGCCCAAAGCTGCTAAGCCCTCTCAAAAACAAAATAAAAATTTTGTATCTACTACTATATGCACACATGTCCCTTGATAGTAAACTCCTTGAGAACAGGGTTTTGTTTTGTTTGGTTTTTTGTCTTTATAGTCCCAGAGACTAACCCAGGAGTATTAAACACACAGTAAGAGTTCAGTAAATTAAGACTGATTGATGAAATTTGGAGTCAGAGAACCTGGGTTCAAATCCTGTTTTTCTTACTAACCACAGGCATAACCTAAAGATAAGACAATTCCTTTCAAAGATTCTTCATATGTAAAAGATCAAGCCTAAAACAGTTCTTTATCTTTTTTATGTCAGGGAACCCATGGCAGTCTGGTGAAGCCTATATATCCCTTCTCAGAATAATGTTTTTAAATGCATAAAATAGGTAGGATTACAAAGGAAACCAATTACATGGAAAGTTAGAATAGACAGCTAATTTATATATGATTATATGGCATATGCACGTAGGTTATTCAGGTACTAAGGGTCAAAGGCAGGATTTGAACCTAGGGCCTTTGACTATAAAGCCAGTGCTCATTCCACTAATTTAAAGGAATAACTAAATTGCTTCATTTCATATTGGCATAAGATGAGCAAAATCTCACTAAGACCAGAAATAAATAATATGTATAACTCGCATTTAGTAAAAAATCAAATTGGGCAACTAAGTGGTACAGTGGATAGAGCATTAGGCTTGGATCATGAATTCAAATCCAGCCTCAGACACTTCCTAGCTGTGTGACCCTGGGCAAGTCATTTAACCCTGCTTACCTCAGTTTCTCATTTATGAAATTAGATGCAGATGGAAATGGCAAACCACTCCAATATCTCTGCCAAGAAAACTTCAAAATTGGGGTCACAGAGAGTCAAACAAGATGAAATGACTCAACAACCACAGATTCAGTTTACTAATAATCATAATGTCATCAGTTAGCTTTCTTATTAAATGTTTCAAGGAATTTCACGTGATTTTGACAGGCACAGGGGAGATACCTTGTAAGAGGAGAGTCTCTACGGTATTATTTTGATCTATTGAATAAAATCCTCTTTTTTAGTGGACAACAAACAACAAATAAGCACCATGAGGTCTTATATTTTCTGCTCCTTATAGTCAATTGTGTGACTGTGAAGAGATAGTCCCCTAGAAAATACGGTTTGTGAACATCTGCCTATACCCTTTTCATCCCCTCACCAAGGATACCTAATGTGTGTGTATGTGGAAATTGTTCTCATATATTGTAGAAATGAGAACACAGACAAAAGGAATCAGTGATAATATTACTGATAATAATATTATTGATAATAACTAAGTTGTGTATGAACTGATGCAAAGTGAAGTGAGCAGAGACTGGAGAGCTGATGGACTCATAGTATAGACTGAAGTATATATTTTTTTAAAT